CGTACAATGTGATATTATACAACCGATGGATTGACCTGGTTGCAGCAGTTTCGATGTAATATTCAACATCTTTTTTTGCTGTGTTGTGTTCCACAATGAGAGCCACTCAATGTTTTTTTCAGACGTGAAAATCACTTAAAGTTTACGTGAAACTAACATGGAATCTGTGTATGTGGATTTCACGTAAGTTTCATTGATAATATCAGTGTCTTCGAATGGAATATCCTTTGATGTATAAGTAACAGCTTGTAGATTTTACTTGCGCCACGTAAAATTGACTAAAAAAGAAAAAATGAGACTCCATGTGATTTTTCACGTAACAATAACGTGTCAATTATTTTGAGTGTAGAAGTAAGTGTATATATTAGCCTTAGGCGCATTTTTGTTAAATTTAAGATCCACTTAACTCCAGTGGCCTCAGTACATTTCTTTACTTCTGGACAACTTCTTTTACAGTATTTCCTTGCATTCCTATTGGTAAGTGTAGTGACCAAGTCCTGTGTACGTGCTAACTTCGTAACAATTGTCAACAGAATGATTTTCGTTTGTTCTCATGCCCGACGCTAAACTCTAATCGGCGATTGATCCTGATTTTTTATCTCTGTCTAGCCTCTATATAACATTCCCTCTGATGTAAACCGGGCTGAACACATCATATGCATATTTTGCTCTGAAAGTAGACGCACTCGCAAAGCGTGAGACTGTCTGCCCGAATCAGATATGAAACTATACGATTTTCGTTCAATTGACCACTTTGTCAAGCAGTTTTGGTGTGACTTTCTACCAGCGATTTCACAAAAACTGGACCAACTAATTTCTATTTTTTTATGAAACGCACAAATGTTGGCTACTTTTCTCGAGGTTCTAGAAGAAAAAATCGCAAAATAATGTTTTATTTCAAAGTTCGAGTGGTAGTAAACGTCATTATAACTGCTCGAATGAAGTGGTTAATTGTCATTCTCGTTGCTTTCGATGTTTAGTACGGATAAGTCGGTGTTATCATTTACTTGGCCATTTATTCATTTTTATCAACACACTTAAGCATATCTAGTGAATTTATTTACAACAGCTACCATATCCACTACAGTAAGTTTACTTTAAGTTGACTGTAGGATTATAATTTACTTGATACGTACGTATAATGATAACTTCACTATAGTTTTAACCCAATTTAGAAATTTAAAGTTATACATCGATGTAATATTTGCCTATTATGCAGTAATAATTAATTCATTAGATATTTTGTTTTGAAGAAATGTAACATGTAATATTAACCTGTTACAACTTTTAAGAATTCTAAACAACTAGTATTATAAGTAACAGCATTCAAATTTAAAATATATAGTCTCAAATAAATTAGGAAAACTAACTTTTTTTAACTTTTTTTTTTATATTTTTAGCCGTAGGCTAGTTCATCTCGTAAACTAACTGTTCGCACTGATGAATCGTAGGGGTACCTGGAATATAATGCCAGTTGGAACTAGTTGCAAGTTGCGTTTTAATGTATGTTTGCTTTAGAGACCGTATCAATTTGGCAGCTCTATGTTATCAAATAATATAAATTAAAACAAAAACCAGTTTGCATTAGATATAGTGTAATTTTGTCCTTTTTTTAAGCAATGCAAACATTATTAACGGTAGGTGAAAGATATTACCCATTTGATTAAGATTAGAGCTTTTGATAAATTACCGATAAGTTTTAATATGTATTTCTATTTTATGATCAAAAACATTTTCTTTATACATTCGGGGCAAAATTCATTCCTAAGTTCAGGGCAAAATGATAATTTGACAAGCTTTGTTAGGTTCTATTCTTTCATCAGAAATGGTCCGCAACATTTCGTAGTGTATTAAGTGATCATGGGCCTATAAGACGGCAAGGAGAGTCATATTGCCCCATTGTTGGGGTGCATTTTCCCCCGATAAGTGGAATGTCCAGTTTATTTGATCAATTTCTAAACTTACTTTTTAAGGTTTTGTTTCTTAGTTTTCATGTTTGTTGTGAATATAAAGGACTAAATAATGGTTAAGAGAAATAAAGCAACACATTATATTCTCTGTTACTTTTAATTTTAACGAGAAAACAGCTTGATTTCCTTAACTGATACTCTTAACCACAGGAACCCCTACAAATGTTTTTCTTCTACATTCAATCGATCAATTTTGCTCATCATCCTCGTTGACATTCCTCTTGTCAACACAAATATTCAAACCTTTCTGTCCACCTATCGCATGTTACCTGATGGAGGACGTGGTGTCAAATCAGCCTACTGATCATTTTTGTATGAAATTGGTTCTTCTTCTTTACTTCTTCATTCCTTTATTTAACGTCGGTCTCTGTTCCGCAATCTAGTGGCAATCACCGACGGACATCGATCGCCATCTAAATTGGTTCCAAACGTAAACAAACCATGTCGGTCTCTTATGGCTTGTTTACGTTTGGAATCAGTTATAAGAGGTAGGCGACGGTCTGCGGATACACGGATACCGAGAATCTAGCCAGACTACAGCGTAGTTTGGGAGGATCAGCACTGGAGGCAGTTAGAAGTCGACTGCTCCTATCCGCGTCTGTTCCGTACGTGATTGAAATGCTGCATAAGCTTTACGGAAGATCAGAGATACTGATTAGTTCTCTTCTGAAGAAGATGATGAACGTGCTGCCACCGAAGTCGGATAACTTAGGCACCATCGTCGCTTACGGTTTATCGATTCAGAATCTCGTCGATCACATTTTGTTTATACTTCTTCTTTGATTTGTTTTCCATCGATCTTGTTTTGCGTGCTGAGCACCAATGCTACCGGGGACCAACGGCTTTACTTCCCTTCCGAAGGAAGGCGTGATCAGATATGTTATGCCTCAGAACATCCCGGCAGCGCCGACTGGGATTGAACCCAGGCCTACTGGGGTGAGAGGCAATCACGTTTACAAAACACCACCACATCAAATTGCATCACGGAAAAATACGCTGTAGAAAATTACCCATTGGATATTTTATCTTGAAAATTGGAGTAGAAGTAGTTTAGAGTGTATTGTTTACACTTTTTTTTTATCGCTGTCAGTTTTTCGAAAGTTTGAAAAAATGGCGTCACCCGAAAAGCAATGTCACGAATTGATTGCACCTGGAAAATCCTCAACTCTCTCATCGGGACATTCGAAAACAACTCGGAATCGTGCAGTCAACGGTGAGTCGTGTGATTAAACCTTACTACGAAACTCTGAGCATCGAACGGAAGGAGAAATGCGGTCAGAATGGATGTTCTGAGTGAGTGATCAGGATCACAAGCGTGTCGTGAAAGCGTTTAAGCAGAATCCCAATGCTTCGGTCAGGGATGTGGCCAAAAAGTTGAATCTTTCAAAGTCTTCCCAGACAACCAGAATGCACGTATATTCAAAGTTGTTTCTGTGATATTCAAACATATGTACAAACAAACAAATCGTATGCAATGCAAAAAAGGGCTTATACCTACAAAAGTGGAGGCCATATACGTGCAAATTTTATTTTCTTTTTAACGAGTTGATGTGACATCTTATACGATTAAACCTGTAATAAGAAACTGAATTTGAAAAGACTTACAATGTAATCCGAATTTATTTGTACTATAGTACGATGGAGAAATGATTCATCGCATGTAAGTCGGAAATTTGCATTCAATACGATTTAACTTAAACATAATGCGAAGTATGTAATACTTATATGCAAAGTTGACATAAACGGTGGTTATTTACGATACTGTATGTACATTGTTATACGACGTCTGGGTTTTGTTCAGAGAGCCAAGGGCCGGGAGGGACTGCAAACTTACAATGTGCAGAAGGCTCCAAATTGTGACAAATGACAAAATACGGTGGGAATGTCACGGGCCCGGAAACTGTACACCCAGATGCTGACATTGTCTCATGGATGATGAGACTTACGTCAAGGTGAACTTCTGGCAGCTTCCTGGACTACTGTTCTTCGCCCCTCAGCACAAGTTTGATGTTCCGGAGGAAGTAAGGAAGCAGAAACTTTCAATGTTTGCCAAGAAATACATGATTTGGCAAGCGATCTGCTCGTGCGGCAAACGTAGTGCGCCGTTCGTGATTACCGGGACTGTAAACGGGGAGATCTACCTCAAGGAGTATCTACAGAAGCGTCTGCTTCCTCTGTTGAAGTAAAAAGAGGGCCCTACGATCTTCTGGTTGGACTAGCTTCGTGCCACTATTCAAATGTTGTCTTGGAGTGGTACGAAGCCAACGGAGTCATTTTCGTACCCAAGGACATGAACACCCCCCCCCCCCCCCCAACGCACCGGAACTAAGGCCCATCGAGAAATACTGGGCTATTATGAAGCAGGCACTACGGAAGCATCCCAAGGAGGTCAAATCTGAGGAAGACATGAAAAAAGTGGGTTTCCATACAGAAGAAGCTGCAGCCAGAACAGAACCTAAAGAGTGGAGTTAAGCGTAAGGTGCGAGCGTACGGTTATGGTATTGAAGTTGAGTGAAATAAATATGCCTAAAGCTTATTTATGGGTTATATTCTATTGTCTGAAAGTTTGAAAAGAATCGGTCAACTAGGTAATTTTCTACAGCGTTTTTTTTCCGTGATCCAATTTGATGTAAACTAAACGTCAAACGAAATATTTAATATTATACTTCTGAAATGTAATACAAATCCAAAAATGACGAGCCCATGAAGCTAAATCAATTGAAATGTAACCACATATGTAACACCTTAATCAATGCAAATAATTTTTTTTACTACTACAATAGATTGAAAGTGCTGTGGATGACTCCATAGAAACGACTGCTAGTTCTCGTTTTCTCACAAATTCGGAAAACATTAGATGTTTTGTTTCCGTGGAAAGAGCATTCAACTGAGCGCAGATAATCCTATTCGTTGTAATCACATTTCGGTTTTGTTTACTCCAAAGTCGTGTATTGCGTAAAAGCAGCCGTCCTTGCTAAACATTTCGCACGTCATAACGGTGGTGGTGTTTGAATGTATGTAGATACTCACTTTCTCGCTACTGTTTACTGCTGGTCCCATCATATTGAATCCAAAGCACCCAAGCTGAACGCATTTCCACGCTAAACACACTTGCCGCCACATGAAATTTTCACCAGAACACAAGAGATCACGTTTGGATGTAGGTATCTACTCTTCCTCGATAGGCAATCTTCTCATTAGCCTTGCGCCGTCGTGCTATCTGCGACGCTCGACTAAGGCGATGTTGTACACTTTTTTTTCCCTCACACGTCATTCAGCGCCATTCACAAAATTAATTATCACAATATCGAAAACAATAACACACACTCAGCTCAGAACGGAAACCGGTATCTATATCTCTTCTGCTTGACTTTGGCAGCAATGGGTCAACGCCGGCAAGAATAGTAACGATATTTACGTTCGCACTGATGACCGGAGCCGAGCGATGCGGCGTGAATTTGCTGGAACACTTAGAACGAAGAGCTACTAATAAAGTCTGCTAATATTCTCTGCTGGATAATTGATTGCAACAATCGTACGACACGTCTGATAACTTACACACTTTTGGGGATCATGTTTTCACAGAATCACACACGCACAAGCGACGTGCCAGGCAATGGAATAGGGCTGGACTTCAAATAGATAGATAATTGCATCGACCGCACACAGATACCGTTGTCAATTTTGGAATTCGCGAATTTATAATACACGATCACAAGGTGTGCTCGCTCGCGATATCTCGAAAAATGGATTAGCTTTATACTATAGGTAAGAGTGAATGGTATGATGGACAAAAGCGGGTTTCGGGCAAATGAAGCGGTTTTGGGGTAAGCATCTGTTCAGGTCATTTTAGAATAGAGGATAGTTGGATGAAGTCGAACAGACACCGTTATACACGTACCCATAATCAAAATTCATACTGTACGAGGTGTGATATCTGTATAAAGATAATTTATTTAAAAAATGATATTTCTGATCAATAAAAGGAAATGCTTTTTTTTTAAAGAACGTTCGGTATAATTTTGACATTCTATAGAGTCACGGGATATTGAGTCATTCTCACAGATTGTCTATGGTCAGAAGATTTATAGAACAAGTCCGCTTGAGATCAGTCTGCTGATATGGAGCGATCCCACAAAATGAACATTGCTCCTGGATATGTTAATGTTGCTCATAGTGAGGGAGAATAGGCCATACTTTTTTTTGTCATGCATCATTCAGTAGGAATTACTCGAATAAATCAAATCACAGCTTTCTATTATCACATTTCAGGCATTTTGGAAATTCCCAGTATCAATTATCATATTGTTGGTAAGTAGCTTACATGAGTCATGAGCGGTAGCGCCTGAACTTAAATTAACGGCTGCCCTCAATTTTGTGCGCACTTGAACGTTTGTTCACTAAGAACTGTCCTATCCAAACCGAAAAGATTCTCCAATTGGCTTAGCCATCAAAAGGCCTCTATATTGAGATTCTGAAAACTGGATTGCCCATGCATTGAAAATGTAGCTTTTTTCTGGAAGTAACGTTAGCATATTCTTCGCTTCATTAGCACTTTCGCAGAAATACATTTGAACCACTTTGCCCACCGTGTTTTAGCACTTTCTCATCCATCAGCGCACGCAAGATTTGAAGTGATTGACAAGCCTCCCACCTGTGACCGCAGCAGTGCTATGAGGATCACCGCCGTCACGTTCTCTCAAATCTTCATCTTGTTCTTCCTCTAGTCGCACACTTTTTCCCAAATCTCACTAAACTTGCACAAGTTCACGGTCTCTAGTAAATTATTGCCTCTTATCCGACCAACTCGACCGGGTACAGGCGGTGGTGGACTCTGTTGCTTCAATACGTGGACATAAGGGGGTACGCGGGCTTCAAAACACGACGAAGGCGCTCAGGCGGGAAGATAAGCACGTCGCTCGAAGTGATTTGCGTTATTTGTTGATGTTATGAATTATTCTTACGAGCAAGCTGCCGCTCGATTCGATGGATTTCAATCATTCTGGGGGCTCCATATAGATGACAACGATTACAATCTCTAAGACTCGGCTGATTTGCTTCACGTACCTAGTCAATTTAGTCTTCTCTTGAAGTGTTTCGATGAGATACGAATCAGAACGACCGACGGCGGTGGCAGCGACGGCGACGTCGACGATGATGACGAATTCTAATGCGAAGGGAAAATTTAGCGTCCGAGCGCTCCACTCCGTTGCTGATTCGTCTTTGCGATTGGACGTGCGAGTGCGAACTGACTGGCGATGACGACGCCGGCGACGGACGGCGGTTGAAGCTTCCGAAACTGGCGCGCGATGCATGCAAACAAACGGTGCGCGCTAGCCAGTAATATACATACAGCATACAGGGATTCTGCCCGCTCCTCGTTAGAAAGTGAATATGGTAGCCGGAATGGAAGGGTTGAAGCGCCCGGTGGGTGATTTTGTTGGAAAACGGTGCACTGTGGTCCAAAAAGGCCAAATGGTGATTGATTTGTTTTTAAATTTATATGTATATTAAATTACTAAACATAAAACTAAATTTCAGGCTAAGAATTTCAGCTTCACGAACAGTTGTGACTTTAATTAAACACATAAAGTGGCGACTGAATTATGAGTAAAACTAATCAAATTAGTCCTAGACCTATCCTAATATGAAAACTGAGATGTTTTTGAACTCCGAAAAAATCTGTCACATCATAGGCGCAGATCAAGACTTCTTGATAGCAGCACCTTACAGCCCAGTGAGATTTGGTCTGGTTATTAACCAAATCATACCGGACTGGGGTCGTTTTGAGGCAACTAGCTGATTACTTAATTAATGGTGGTGAGGATAATATTAATAATTAAGGAATATAAATATTAAGGATAATACCTTAACATCTACTGAGATACTTTTAATATTCCCCGCAATAATTTTCTTATTATCTACGGTATTCTATACAAATAATCTCCATTACAGTTTTGGAATTCTGTGCAGAACACTTTCGGGATTGCCTCTAAACTAAACTCTTGAAATTCACACTACATTTATATTCGTATACTTAATAATTCTTGCTTTAATTTCTCCACAAAATTTCCTTAAAAAATCCATCCTCAGTAATCTCATAGTACCCAACACTTTCTTGAATTCAACCCCATAATTGTATAAAAATTTTAATCAGAGTTTGAAAGACACCCGTAAATTCCATAAAATTCCCACAAAATTAGTATGAATTCTATTGTGAACTTCCTTGATGAGTTCTGTAAATAGCAAAGGATATGGTATGGTATGGTAATTCAATTTGAATTCTCTTTTTAATTTTCCTAGAATATACCAGAAATTCTTTCAGGATCGAAGTAGGCCGCGAGGCAAAAATGACATTTTGTAGTTTTGCTGCGTGGTTTTCGTTCTTGTGAAAATGGTAATTTTAAAGAACAAAAGTGATGTTGAAAAGTGCATTAAGTGAAAATTATCAAATTCCTCTCAGTTGCAGCGGTCAGCCAAATTTATTTGCCTTTTCTTTCCTCTTTCCTCTATGGGATTTATCCATCTAAATTGAGACGATCATTTTAAAACTTACTAAATACGCGTCAATGAAGTGTTGCACTACTGCTTGATGTAAAGTTTAAGTACGTTATCAATCTTAGCATCAATAATGATAGCAGGCTGTGCTTGTGAACGAACGTCACGTTTATTTTTGCTGTTCCAATTTTTTTTTCTCTACTTGGGAGCTGCTCGAGTGAATTTGGCTCTACAACTAGAAGTCAAGTTAATAGAGATCTGAGGTTTGTAAAGTGTGAATCTGAACCATGAAGTCTGAGCAGTGATACTCAAATTGGCTGGTTCCACATTTCCTTTGTGGTTCGTCTTCATAAGGGCTGTACTACAATGGCTGCTTCTGAGCCCCGGGCAGCGTGTATTTTTACAAGTGGCTTTGAAACCAAGGTGGAGCCTCAAACGAACTCGTGACTTCCTGATAGTATGATGGAGATGTGGCGGATCGCTGAACCTATCAAAGGAGAACATTACTCGGGTAATTTCAGACAGATGAACCAGAATGGTTTGACGAGGAGTGCCAGCGAGTGACAGAGGAGAAGAACGTCGCCAGAAGCCGTATGTTGGTGTCTGGTACCCGTCAGAACAGAGAGCGGTACAGGGTAGCAAGGTCAGCCGAAAAACGAACCCATCGCAGGAAAAAAAAAGGCAGTACGAGGAACGCGTTATTGCTGAGGCGCAAGAAAGTATGGAGCAGAATGATATGCGAAGGTTTCACGCAACTGTCAATGGCGTGAGGACAGCGAGAGCTGGTTTTCGTGAGGGTCGATCAACGACGGATCAAATGTTTACCCTGCGTCAAATCCTTGAGAAGTTCCGGGAATACAACTTGCAGACTCATCATCTGTTCATAGATTTCAAGGCAGCGTACGATTCAGTGAAGAGAAACGAGCTATGGCAGATAATGCAAGAAAACGGTTTTCCGACTAAACTAATTAGGCTGATTCGTGCAACGCTGGATAGTTCAAAATCATGTGTACGGGTTGCAGACGAGATTTCGGCCTCGTTCGTGACCTTAGATGGGTTGAAGCAGGGAGATGCTCTTTCGAACTTGCTATTCAACATCGCCCTCGAAGGAGCGATTAGAAGAGCTGGCATGCAGAGGAACGGTACCATCATCACAAAGTCGCACATGCTCCTTGGTTTTGCGGGAGAGCAGTGGAAGAGGCGTTCGCGCCTTTTAAGAGGGAGACAGCCAGGATTGGTCTCAAGATAAATTCTACCAAAACGAAGTACATGGTCGCCGGTAGAAAGCGTGGGAGCAATCGTGGTGTTGGTAGTGAAGTGTTGCTAGATGGCGAAACATTTGAAGTTGTGGACGAATTTGTTTATCTTGGTACTTTAGTGACGTGCGATAAAGATGTTACCCGCGAGGTGAAAAGGCGTATTGCATCAGCGAACAGGGCTTTCTACGGGTTGCGTAGCCAGCTGAAGTCCCGCAGCTTGCGTACGAAAACGAAATTCGCGCTGTACAAGACGTTGATTCTGCCGGTAACCCTTTATGGTCAAGAAATCGTGGGCATTGAAAGAGGCCGATCGGAGAGCTTTCGGAGTCTTCGAGGGTAAAGTGCTGCGAACAATACTCGGCGGTAAACTGGAAAATGGCATCTGGCGGCGTCGCATGAATCACGAGTTGTACCAAGTATATAACGGCATGGATATTGTGAAGCTTATAAAACACGGCAGGCTACAGTGGGCTGGGCATGTGGCACGAATGCCGGAAGAGCGTCAAGCGAAGTCAATATTCAGCTGGAAACCCGGAAGAGGACGATAGCTTCGGGGTAGGCCACGCACGCGTTGGCTTTGTGCAGTTGAGGAGGACATTAGGTCCTTGAACGTCCAAGGCGACTGGAAACGATTGGCTCAGGACCGAGACCAATGGAGACGGTTACTTCGTTCGGCGCAGATTTGAATTCAACGAGTCATCGCCCATCAGGTACTCAGGTACTCAGGTACGAACCAGAATGGTATATGTTGGTTCCTGTCAAGAAGTGGATCATCTACAATTGGGATTGCCACGCTGAAAAGTGGCATAGCGTCTTGTTGCAGACTTGGTGAGATCGTTCTTTTTTATCGTTTTTTGTCAGTTTGTACTTTGTTTCCGTGAATCCATGTTTGAGGTTGATGATGTGCCCACGGTTTGAGAAGGAGTAAACTGTGCGTGTGATCGAACGCAACGTTTTTTTTCCGTGGAGTTTTTTTTTATTATCTATAATCGGTTGCTGATCTGGTCAAAACCAGGCCCAGGAGACGATTTCTAGTTTGTCAGCGAGTTCATTAAGACAGAAGAAGTCCTGCGAGAGCTCTCTGTTATTTCCCGCTGAGAAGCTGTTCCGAAGACAAGTAGAACCTCTCTGAGGTGTCCCATCAGTCGTCCCATCATTCGTTCCATCATTCGTCTCAGCGTTGAGTCGCAGCTCTGAACCTGACAATTGGCCACGAAAAGGCTTACCAATGCACATACACTTAGAATTTTTTTTGACATCAATTTGAGTCATAACAGATGCAAAATATAGCTCAATCAAACGTACTTTTCGTCGAGCAACGAAGTTTTAAGTCTCGGGGTACGACATGTTTGTTTACGTCTCATCTTTTATGTCAAAAATGGATTCCGTCACGTGTAAAATTAATTATTTCCAAGTGTGCATCAAAAATCGACTACATACATTCAAACATTTTTTTTATCTCAAATCGAGGGAAGACATTCCGCTCAACTACCATAAACTGGACTAGTTCATGTCATCAAGTTACGTCTACAATTTGGACTTACACGTCAACACATGTCAAGCTGCCTTCAGGTTCAATTTTCTAAACTAGGTGAGTTCGTTCCACTTTGTAAATTTTTATCTTTTCAAACCAGTAACGTTGGGGGATCACCTTTTTTTGTGGTGCCTTACTGGTAAAAGATCTACCACCGAACCCTAGTTGTGACAACTTCAAACTACGGAATCGGGATTTTCCAGTAATCAAAGGATAACATTTTAGTTCTTGTTACTTTTTATGACTTGATAATAGTGACAAGACTCGGGTAGTGGCCATCGCCGTTATGCATTTCTTTAAAGTATATTTCAAATAAAAAATATAGCTTATGTTCATAGAGTTTGCATAATTCTTTTCGCTTTGTCTTTCTCCTATTCCTTTCCCTCTTCTCTTTTCAGAAAGCGAGTAATGGGGCTATAGCCATAAGCCATAAATTACTAGGACAAGAGTTAGTGCTCATGTCCCAACCATCAGAAGAAAATGGAGCATCACTTAACCTTTCTAGCTTTGATGCTTCCAACGATCAACCAATCATATAATTACCAAAATCGGAACTTACGGTACGAGATGTCCACGTTTCTTCCATTCATTGGATTTTGAAGCATCGTGTTTAAATCTTCTATTTAAACAGGCCCGATGTCTTCTGAATCATCTTGCCCCTTAAATGCTGCACAGCAGGCCTGGCCGTTTTGATATGTGTGACACATCTTCGATGTGAAACATGTATCAAATAGACAAGAAAAATGATGGAGGTATGTCCATCATTTTCCAGGATGCTTTCTAGAACTGGTTGTGTTGGTGTAAGATTAGATTAGATTAGACTAGGTTATCAATATTAGCATCGATAATGTATTGAAGAGGAGCTTATCGTGTGTGAAAATAGTTTTGGAATGCTTGCGTTCTTAAAATGGTCTATTGGAGCTACGGTAGAGCTGCTA